CAACGCTTTACATTTTGCCTTCCCAGATAGTGTGATAAATTTAGAGGAAGAAAAATGAAAGGGACCTCTCAGGCTCTCTCTCTCACCTCCAGTGAGCTCTGAGATTTCCCAGGGGAGCCCGGGGAAAGACACCAGGGTGGTTTTTGTACCTCGTTAAGAAGAGTGGGGCTAGAAATAATCCGGCGGGTCTAGAGCGTTACTGTTGTAAGATTTGTGTGAGTTGTGAGATGAGAAGACAGGCTCAGCCTTCCTGGGGTCGAGCCTGTGGGGCGACATGTTAATACACTGTAGAAATTGTTTGTTTTACGAGGAGTCCCCGGTGACGAGTTGGTGCTCACTGCTTGAGTGCCTGCGGCCCCAGGGGGATGCCGCCCAGAGGCTTGTGAAGTGGCTGTGTGCCCTGCCTGTAGGGCTGTGTGCCCTGCCCTTCATACTCCCTTCTGACACCAGCTGCTGGTGTGACCAGTCAGCCCCAGCCAGGAAGGGTCTGGCCTCTGCAGGGGGTTTTGTTGACCTAGACTCTGGCCTCTGAGCAACGGTCCCAGCTTGTGTCTTCAATGGAAACATGCCTCGCCTCGCGGGAAATGACCGCCCCAGTGTTAGGGGGAAAGGATGTTCTGAGCTAATCCCATACAGGCTTTATGGACTCCACCCCCACTCCAGACCAAAGCCATCAAGACACTGGGAAAGACAAATCCCGTCACCACCAAAGGGAAAGTGGCAGGGACCTGAGGGTGGAGTTAAGCAGCCAAGGTTGGTATAAAAACCAAACACGTGGGCCTTGGGGGGGCTTGCTCTCTTGCTCGCCTCTTGGCTTTATGGCTCCTGGCTCTCGGCCAGCTCTTAGAGTGCCATTTGGGATTCCTGATCAGCGGATCGGGTAGGACGCATTTAAAACTTTGTCTCCCACTTTTCTCCATGAGTTGTACATTTCCTCATTTGCCCTTCCCTTGTAAATAAACCTTTTATTAACCTTTCGGGTGCGCCTGCAGTAGAGTATTGATAAGTCCTTTTAAGTGTGCGGGTGAGGACCCACAGTCAGGCACCCCGTTTTGTATCGGTGCTGCCCTATAACAGTTTGGCGCCCACTGTGGTTTCCAAGTTACACCCGCGGTTGACCAGCCCAAAGTAACATTCCTTGCATTGGTCACCATAAGCGCACTAGGTGTGTAGGACTCACGGTGTAGTCTTTGTCTCAAGTCCTGAAAAGGCTTCAGGCGCCTGTCCTTTAAAGAAGTGAGCCTGTGGTTCAGGCTCCTGAACCAGTGTCTCTGAAGTTGTAACAGGGTGGTCCCTTTCCCTGCCCTGTAACAAAGTGACTCTCGGCCTGCCCCTGAGGAGCATGTCCTGCCCTGAGCCCAGGAGCAGCCGCTCTGAGACCCAGCAGGACGAGCTCCGTCCCGGGCCCGAGGCCTGGGCTGCTCTGTTGTGGTTTTCAGTGTAAACCATGGGCATTGTGTCAATGCTCCATTTTCTGGCTTTATGAGGTAACCCACAGCAATTTAGTAAATGCTGCCTTTATAAAGGGAAATAAAACACTGAAAAAAATTAAAAAATTGAATTGGGGTTTCCCTGCTGTCAGATGAGAAGGTGGGCTCAGCCTTCCATCAGTGTTATGTCTCTGGGGTTTTAACTTGCATTTCCCTAAGGGCTACCTACCCGTGTCTGTCCTTTCTTAGAAGTTGTTTTGCCTTTGATGTGTGCTCTTCAGTGAACTGGCAGGAGGTGACTGGGAGGGGGCGGAAGACAGGGTCAAAGTATATGGGGTGGGGTGTATGTGCCTGGGGAAATGCGTGATAACCCTGAAGGGATGCTACTTGTTCCTGAATGAAGACAACAGAGCAAATACAAGTTGCCCACAGTATCCCAGCTGAACAATCATTGGGGAGTCAGGGAGCAATTCCCAGAAGACAAGGCAGTCCCCCTTGCTGCAGCTGCCCAGTGGGGACCAGGGTGGGATTCTAGGCCCACATGCTCCCTTGCCTGGTCAGGGTCAGACCTGCTGGGTGCCCAGCCCTCTCCCCGACTGGCAGTGTGGTGGAGAGCGGCCGCTAGGACAAAGCCTGCTTTATTAGCGCTTTCCAACGGCAGTGGTCCCCGTGGTCCCCATGCTCATAGCACTTCCCAGCCACGTGACTTCCCCTGGATTTGACCAGTCTGCTCTAGGAACATTCTCGTCCTGCCTGGAGAGGCGCTGGATTCCTGCTTATTGGGTTATGGTTCTGAGCGCTGCCTGTCTTGAGATGATGCTCTTGGCGTTTTCCTTCTGATACCGGAATTGTCAGGCCTAGTCTCCCAGCCAGGAACAGATCCCAGGCTGCAGGGGCAGCGCTGAGCCCCAGCCACTAGACCCCCTCGGGTTGGTGTCTCACGAAGCTGCAGCAGGAACTTCGCAGACGCTCAGGCGAGCAAGCGAGAAGAGGCAGTTTGTTTAGAGAAAGAAAAAGTTTATTGAGGAGAAAAAGAGCAGAAATAAAGTGGGACTCCCAGGCCAGGGAACCAGGCCTGGGAGGGGCAAGGAAGCCAAAGTGAGTTGTGTCTCAGGGAATATAGACCTTCTTTTCCTCATTATTCTAAAGCTCCACCAGTTTCTTTGTGATTGGCCAGTTCTCGGCTGTCTCACTTAATTTGTTACTGAGCAGGGGATCTTCACATTCCTTATCTAGCAGGTCTGTCTTTCCCCATTTGTTGCATCTTTATCTTTATGGCCCAGTCCTCTGGAGGGGCATCCCTGCAGTGAAGTTAAACAGCTGCCCTCCTAAGTTGTCCATAAAGTAAACCCCTCTCCATTTCCCCAATCTCCGCCTCCCTTTACCACCTGAAGGAAACCAGGACCAGCGTTAACAATGTTGTCCTTGGTCCTGGCATGTTTGTTTTTCCAGGTGGAATTAGTTACACTCCTCTTGCTGTCCTTATCTCTGAAGCCTTCCTCAATTCTCCGAGGTCCCCTCCTGCAGTGTCCCTAAAACTGCCTAATTCCTAGCTTGCCCTGTGTCTCACTTCCTCTTGGGCGATTGAGCTGAGTCTGCGTGTGAGAAGCGGGGCAGCTGATGGCCTTGTTTGGGGGAGCTGCAGCCCAGAGAAAGACCTCGAGAACCTCTCTGCTCCTCATTGGGGTGAGGCCATTCCTGGGATGAGCCTGGGAGACCCCTCGCCCTCCCCATATGGAGTTAGAGGGGTTTGTGCTGGCTCTTGGTCATCTTTCCAAAGGGATGGTGTGAACGCAGAAGGTACCCTGGAGACCCCTGCCGGAGAGCTGGAGAGCTCCATGCTTGCCCGGGGCTGCTCTGTCCTGGACTTTGGCCTCAGGAGCCAAAGCTCTCCAGGGCAAGCCAAGGCAGTAGAGCGGGGCTGCGAAGTCTAGTGTTCCCAGTGAGAAAGGTGAAGCAGAGGCCGCCCCGCACGCCCGAACGCCTCGGCTACCATTCAGCTCTCCCCAGCCCGGGCCCTGCTGGCCTGTGGCGACGCTCTTCTCGCCCCCACCCCCCCATTTCTGTGTTCACAATGGACTGAATCGGCTCAGTAAAGAAGACCCCGTCTTGAGAGCATGAGTCTGCCCTTCCTGTGAGTGTGCCTGGGAAGACTCCGCCGCAGCCAAGTAGAAAAGGACCAGCTCTGCCCCCAAGTGGACCCCAAACTGTGGCAGCCACTGTCCCCACCTTTCCAGGACACTGAGGGGGATGCAGATATAGGTGTGTGTGTGTGTGTGTGAGGCCAGAGCACCTCATCCAGGGGTCACGGCCGAAGACCAGGGATGAAAAGGGGGGGCTGTGCACAGAGGACAGAAATGGGCTTTTAGGGCATGGAGGGGAGAAGGCGTGAGGAAGAAGTGCGGCAGGGCCTCCTGGAAGGACCTGTCCTTTCACGGTTTCTCTCTGTTTGGCTTATTTTTTTCCTCCGCCCCCACTTCTTCCTCTCCCCCAGCTCCTCCCTCCCGTTCTGACTTTTGACCCCAGGGCGCCCTCTGCTGTCTTCTCCGCTGCCCTTTGATGGCTTCTGCTCTCCACAGCACCAGGTGGATCTTGGTTCGGGTTGGTCTTGCTGCCACCTCTCGCCCCCAAAGCAGCACCTGGCTGCAGGGCCCCACCTTCTCCACGACAGCCCTGGACCTCAGGCTCAGGCTCCGGGAGGCTCTTGGCCCCTGGCCCAGCCTGCGCGTGATGTCCCTCTGGTCCAGGCTGGTGTGCGCAGCAGCCAGAGGCCCCCGGGCTGTGGCACCCAGCAGTGGAGAGGACAGGTCTCTCAGGAAGGGGTGTGGCTGGGAGAGAAATGAGGGCTCCGGGGCCCTGCATGGTCTTTGCACCGGGACAGGAGGCTCCAGAGTGGCAAGGACTCTACCGAGGCGATTTGGAGTCAGACCAGCTGGGTTCAAGTTCTACTTCTGCCGAGAGCGCCTTGAACAGTTTCATGTCTTTAAAAGTTACTTTCTTCGCCTGAAAAGAGTATCTGGCTTGTGGGATTGTTGTGGGGGTCAAATTTCAGGGTCATAGAGCCCCACGGGACCCAAAGGCCAAACCGGCCCTTCACCTAGGGGACAGGGGGTGAATTGTGGGCTCAGCTGTGTTTAGAAGTTAAATTCTCAGGGTTCTAGAACTCCTGGATGGAAGTCCCCCCATTTGGGAGAATTACCTGACCCCACTGTTGCCCCACCCCATTGGTATCCCTGTTATAAAGAACATGGGCTCAGTTGGCCGGGTTCATGCCCTGAACCCCATGTGAGTTTCCTCGGTGCAGAGGAGACAGGGCACCGTCCCTCCGCCTCACAGGAGGAAGCTTTCAAGGAACAGGCAACAGGTCTAATCTGAGAGATGTGGGAACAAAAATGGAGCCAAGAAGTGACGGGACGAAGATGGGCAGTGAGGCCGAGGGAGCCAGAGAGGCTGGTGGTGCCCGCGGAGGGGTGGGCGGGCCCAGGCCCTGCCTGCCTGCTGCCCTCTCTGCCACCAAGAGCGGCTAAACACAGACGCTGCCCCCGCCACAGAACCGGCTCAGCTTCCACAGCAGGACGTTTCCATTTTATTGTCTGTAAACGCTTCTTTGGTAAACAAGACGACAAGAAACCCAAAGGGAAGAGGAGCACGTGGAGTCAGGACGAGGCAGGGGCGGCGCCTCCACAGACGGGGATCTGAGCAGACAGCTACAGGCCAGCAGGGAGGGCCGGGGCGGGGGTCCACTCGGTTGGACACAGAAGCTAAATCGTACAGCGAATGAGCTCATGCATCACAGCGAGGAGAACCGGAGCCCACCTGCGCCCCCACCCATCTCCCGTGTGGCATGCGCCCACACACGAGCACGTGCCCGTCCGGGGCCAGTCGGAGGGGCCCCAGGTGGCCAGCAGCCCATCCTCCATTTCTCCCTCCCCGTTCTGCAGGCCGGGGTGTACAGGATGCAGGGGGGCTGACGGGGGGCTCACGATCTCCAGGTCTGGGTAGAGGTGGCAGGGCAGCAGGGGCAGGCTCTGGGGGCAGTGGAGAAGCAGCCCCCGTCCCCCTTTTACAGGGGGGGCTCGCTGCAGAGGACAATCTCCAGGTCCTTGCGGTAGAGTTTCCCCGCCTCAGCCAAGGACATGACGCTCTTCCTGTAGCTGGTGAGCTGCTGGATGTTCATTTCCTAGAGACACAGGCCGAGCAGGGGAGCAGGCTTAGTGCCAGCTGTCGGCAGCTGTGCCACCCACCTGTCCACCAGGGCACGGGACTCTTCCCCCTCCCCAGCAGGTGGTCTGGCGGGATACAGACCTGGGCCGCATTGCAAGTGTCTCCAGCTTTGGGGAGCACCTTGCCTAAAGTGAAGTCCCTGGAAATGTCACCTAATTCATAACACTGAGGTGTGCCCAGTGAGGCGCCAAGGAGGGGACCCCATCTGGCCAGCCGAGCAGCAGAAAACTCGCTGCCCTGCAGCTTCCGTGGTCCCAGCAGTTGCGGGTTGTGTGTGGGCTGCCAGTGTGCTGGGCCTGTGACTTGCTTGAAGCCTCAAAGGCTTTAGGGAGTTGTTGCCTTAGGAATGCTGGGAAATTGCATCATTGGGATGGGAATCCCACCAGCCCATTAGGATGGGAATGATGGAATCCCATCGGCCTATCAGAAGCTGTATCCCGGTCCCCGCGAGCCATCAACCTGGACCATGCATCTGCGAAGGGGGTGCTTGTGGTGGATCCCCCACCTCTACCACCCATAAATTAAGCTTTGTATTTGAAAAGTTAAACAAATGAAATCACCCTATCCTCCTTAAACCCACCCCCACCGCGTCTGTGACTTTTTTCTTCCTGGATTGCTGGGAACCTTGTATTATGTTTCAAAACAAAGTTCCCTGTGCCCTCCAAGGCGGATAACACCCAGGCGAGCATCTGCTGACCTTCACAGGTGGCTAACCCCGACGGGCAGTCTCTGCTGGAGAAGTGAGCACTGGCTTATGAGCCTGCCCTGCCCAGCACCACCTCAGGCCCGGGAATGTGAAGCCCCCACTCTCCTCATGTCCTGCACCTCCTCACAGCGCCCTGCCACCGTGCGTAATAAGCTCCTGTGCAAAGGCATTCTTGTGGTCAGAGCGTGGCTTTCTGGGTGGACAGTGAAAGACCCGGTTTGGCCTTTCACATCTTCTACTCAGGTCCTTCCCTGGGCCCCCAGGGGCCAGGTCTGGAGCTTGCTGCGGGGCAGGCTCCCGGAGAACAACTTTCTTCACATTCTTGTTTTCTAACCTCCAGAGCGCCTCCCTAACCCCAACACCTGCTCCCTTATTTGCACAGCTCCACTCAAGCAGTGTGGCCATAGCTGTTGTCATGTGTGGTCATCAGGAGAGCACCTAGCTAGGTGGCGATCTGGAAGTGTGGGGTCTCCAGAGATGTAACGCGCCTGCTGGCTCAGCCCACCGCCGGTGTAAAGCAGAGCCGCAGGTGGGATAATCATGTCTCTGAAGGCAGTTGCACCGTCCTGTGCCCAGTGTGGTGTGCGCACCTAAGGGTGCATTGACAGCCCTTGCCTAGATTTTGGTGCCAGGAAGAAGTTTGCTGAGTTCAAGCAGTACTCGGCGTACATCTTAACCTCCTAGGAGGCGTTTGCTCACTTGTAAGTGGAAGCGACTGTAGGTTATATATTGGAGGGGGGTGGTGAAGAAAATGAGGATGCTGTTCAGGACAAAGACAGAGAGACTGGAAAGCAACTGAACAGGGAGACAGGGTCAGAGGCTACAATGAGTTCCCCCTGAAACTGAGCAATCAATTTAGGTCTTGTCTGGGAGCCAAGGCGTGCAGACAGTGCGAGGCACCACAGCCCTTCATTGTCTGATTAAAGAAAGCAGCAAAACCATCTGCTCAGAGAAATACCTTTCCAGGAGGTGAAGGGAGACAATCGCAAAGACTTGTCTCTGGGTTGGGGGCTCCTGGTCTGTCCAAGAGGCAACATGACCAGGCCAAGGCAGGGGCCTCCAGGGGAACAAATGCTTGTGGGACTCCAGTTAGCCCCGTCCTCAGCCCCAGCTTCTGCAGTTAATTGATTCAGAAAGTCTTCTGGTCTCCCTGTGTTGCGCTGACAACACCGCACTGACAAAGGGAGGTCGTGGAGCAAACTGTAGGGTGCAGGATGCTGCAGAAGAGCAAGATTCTGGCCTTTTTTATTGATCGAATAATCATGCAGCATCAGTTGTGAGGGGAAGGAGGACCAGAAGAAAAGGGAGGGGCGAGACTAGAAAATGTGCTGTCATCTATAGTATCAGGGATTGTGAGTCTGCCCTCCAGGCACCTCGCATCTGCTTGATGACTCGGTATTGCAATTAAGATCAAGCCCTAGATCACCAGCCAGGGTTTCAATCTTATCTACAAGGCTTTCCACTGATCACCTTCTGGGGTACCTTGTCATATATCGGTCCTCGGCCCCCCAGGCGTTCCTGGTCATACCTTGAGAAGCATCCCCTTCCCAGAGTGGTCAAACTTTAAGCTCTTGGTTGATTTGAAAGGCATCTCGTAAGAGAACAGACACATAGGCCAATGGAATCGAATAGAAAATCCAGAAATAAACCCACAGATTTATGGTCAACTAATCTTTGACAAAGGAGCAGACTATGCATTGGAGCAAAGAAAGTTTGTTCAATAAATGGTGCTGGGAAAACTCGGTTGCTACATGCAAAAGAATGAAGCTTGACCACTACCTCACACCATACACAAAAACCAATTCAAAATGGATTAAAGAACTAGACATAAGACCTGAAACCATAAAATACATAGAAGGAAATATAGGCGAAACACTACGTGATTTGCACATCAAAGACATCTTTACAGACACATCACCCAAAGCAGTGATAGTGAAGGCAAAGATAAACAGCTGGGACTACATCAAATTAAAGAGCTTCTGCACAGCAAAAGAGACAATAACAAAAACAAAGAGAAACCCCACCAACTGGGAGAACATTTTTGCACCCAACACTAATGATAAAGGACTGATCACAAAAATCTGCAAAGAGATGATGAGACTCAACAACAACAAAGAAAATAATCCAGTCAAAAAATGGGCAGAAGAGCTAAAAAGAAACTTCTCTGAAGAGGAAATGCAAATGGCCAACAGGCATATGAAAAAATGTTCAACATCACTTGTCATCAGGGAAATGCAAATCACAACTACCATGAGATACCATCTTACACCAGTGAGAATGGCACATATTAAAAAAACTAGCAGGCCTCCCCGGTGGCGCAGTGGTTGAGCGCTGGGCTGTGAAGCTGCCTGCAGCCTCTGCAGTGCAGGTTCGATCCCTGGCCGCTGGGCGAGGGTCCCACATGGCGCGCGGACCTCTCCTGCCGCCCGCTGCTACCCTCAGCAGTGTGCTTCATCAGTCTGCCTGTCTGTTCCCCACTCTGGCTCTGGTGAATCCTCTCACCCTCCCCGCGCTTCTGGCTGTACCCAGTGCTTGTATAAATAAATGAATAAATCTTAAAAAAAAAAAAAGAGCAACACATATTAAAAAAAAAAAAAAAACTAGCAACAACAAATGTTGGCGAGGTTGTGGAGAAAAAGGAACTCTCCTGCACTGTTGGTGGGAGTGCAAACTGGTCCAACCACTATGGAGAGCTGTGTGGAGATTTCTTGACCTACTAAACATAGAGCTTCCATATGATCCAGCAATTCCACTCCTAGAGATTTACCCAAAGGACACAGAAACATCAATTCCAAAGAGCACCTGCACCCCTATGTTTATAGCAGCACTGTTTACAATAGCTAAGCTTTGGAAACAGCCCAAATGCCCAAAAATAGATGACTGGATCAAGAAGATGTGGTACATATACACCATGGAATATTACTCAGCAATCAAAAAAGATAAACACATGCCATTTGCAGCAACATGGATGGCGCTAGAAGGGATCATGCTCAGCGAAATAAGTCAGAAAGAAAAAGAAAAATACCGGATGGTCTCACTCATAGCAGGAATCTAGAAAACTTAAATAAGGGACCAGGAAAAAGAATAACTATAAGAAGGAAAATATCAAAATCAACAAACAACTATGAACCAGAGACACTCTATGGGGGGTGGGGGCGGGGAAAGGAGGGTTTGGGGTCAAAATAAGGGGGTTGTAATTGTATGGGGAATATAAAAATAAAATTTAAATGAAAAAAAAATTGAAAGGCAACATGGGCTAATAAACCTAAGAAAATGTAACTGAAGCAGAAAAAAAAAAAAAAAGGCATCTTGTAAGGTGTGGCTCCTATGACTGAGTGACCGGGCAGTTCTGACCTTGTATAGGAATGCAGAACTGCAGGTAACAAAAAATGGTGGCTGAACAGGCCACTTAGGAGTAGCAGACCCACACCCCTGCTCTTGGTTCTCCACAATCTCCCGTCGCTCGTCTTTTTTGTTGGTGGTGAGGCTGATGCTTCCCTGAGCTGAGCCAATTAAAACCCCCACTGCCCATCACCCGGTCATGCACAACTGCCCACAGACAGAAGCAGCCTAGGTGTGGAGCAGCGACGAGCAGATAAACTGCAGGTGGTGCAGTGGAATGTTTGCCTGAAAAGGGAAGGAAATTCTGACACAGGCTACAACACGCGTGTAACTGGGGGGCGGGTGTTAGGCTAAGTGGAATCGCCTGTCACAAAAGACATCCAGGATGGGGCCACTTATGTGAGGGACCTGGGCCACCGCGTCTATAGGGACGGCAGGGTGGTGGGCGTGGGCCGCTGGGGGAGGGAGCAGTGGGGAGTTTAACCAGGACAGATTGTCATGTTGGGAAGATGAGGAGAACACCGCCGTGCCACTGAGGAGTGGTGAAGGTGGTCAGCTTCATGTGATGCATATTTGGGGCAATCAAAACCAAAGGAAACCTCACCAGAGACAAGCAAAACAAAGGCCACTGGCTTGTCCTGGCTGATGAGCGGGGAGCAAACTGCACCCTTGCGGGTTTCCTCCCACCCTCCCTCAGAAGCCTCCCTCCACCCCTCCCAGGACATCACCCCAGCTGCTGGGCTCACTGGCTCACCTTCTTGTTCTTCTCGTACAGATCCTTGAGCAGGGCGTCCAGCTCATTCTCGTCAATGTAGCCACTTCCGTCCTGTCGGGGAGCAGAGTTCACACACAGCTACCCCGACCCGCCTCTTGCCCCCCTTCCATGCATTCTAGGGAGGTCTCTGAGCCTGACCTCCCCTCCCGTTACTCTGCAAAAGGAGGTGGCCGGGCCAAAATAATGGGTTGCCCAGATTTTGCCTGTTAATGCAGGGACTGGACAGTTTGGGGCCAGCTTTTAGTGGCCTTTTGTTCCGTTGTCTTCCATTTGCATGGAAAGGATACCTGTGGTTGCAGAAGCGCTTGGCTAACTCCCTGAGTGTCACATCCCATAGTATCGTGGACTCCAAGACCACTGGAGCCATACTGCAGGGGGCACTAAGATGGGGCTGATTGTGGTCAGGAGGGCCTCTCACCCCAGCTTCTAGAATAACCACCTGCTATGCTGCAACACCGAGCACCCCCCCCGTAGGCGGAGGACGCAGAACTCTGAGCATCCACCAACCATTCTCTCCTGCGCTTTAAGGACCAAAAGCCCTTGGGTTCCACAGGCCGGGGAATGCAGATGACATTTATCTTCTCACAGAACAGAAGATGCTGCCAGGAGTCACGGACAGGAGGAGAGACAGGGCCCAGGATGCCTCTCTGCCGGCTCCGTTGTCCTTAAGGACCAACTGGCGCCTCCCTGTGCAGATGCTGTGGGGTGTGGGAGTGCAGGGGTGCGTGGGGGCTTCCTGCTTTTCCACCCCACACTGCCATCCTCCCTCTTACCTTGTCGTAGAATGTGAAGATGGCGTTGAACTCCTCCGAGGTCAGCTTCATGCCCTGCAAGGTCAAGGTGTGAAAGGGAGAAGCAGAAGTGCCAGCCTGCCTGCGCGTGCAGTGGGTCTGGGGAGCAGGCGGGAGGGGAGCACCCAGAGGCATGAGGGGAAGGGAGGCGCGAAGGAAAGCAAAGTGCCCCTTTTACCTGAAATTTAAGCAGGAAGTTCTCCTGTACGGGCAAGAGTCTGGAAAGAAAGTGATAGAACAGGGGTTAGGAGACCAGCAGAGGCAGGAGCCAGGGCTGCGGAGGGTGGGGGATGCAGAAGCTGTGCCTTTAGTCAGGGAAACCACCGCTGAGCAGGAGCTAGTGGAAAGCTCTAAAAGGAGAGCGACAGGAGCGTTGAGGTGCTGAGAGCCACCGCTCTGTCTAGCTTTGTCTAAGCTTCGGGGCACCTGACCTGTCACTTTTTTTTTTTAAAGATTTATTTATTTATACATACGAGAACTGGGGTGCAGGCCAGAGATGTGGGGGCTGAGAGGATTCGCCAGAGACAGAACGGGGAGCAGAACAGGTGACTACTGAAACACACTGCTGAGGGGAGCAGCGGGCGAGTCAGGAGAGGTCTGCTGCGCCATGTGGGTAGCTCCCTGGCCGGGGACCAAGCTCGTGCTGCCTCGGCTGCGGACAGCTTCACAGTGCTGAGACTTAATCCCTTGCGCCCCCAGGGAGGCCCCTGACTTGTCACTTTCCCACTGATTGATCTTAGAGCTAGAAAGTAGCACAGGACTGGTCTGCAGGGATCTTGTTAGAAGAGACACTGGGGCAAGGGCAGGCACTTACCGGGACATCTCTGAGAGGCCCAGCTTGCCATCCCCATTCAAATCAAACATCCGCAGCTGTGGGGACAGAAAGGGGTACCTGGGTTATTTGCTTTGACCTTCTGTCATGTGGGAGCTGCCCTGTCGTCTCCCTGTGTCCTGGAGGGGAACGGAAGGTGGGTGGAGGGAGTGTGCTCCTGCCTCATCTGTGTCACCTCACCCGGAGCCCCAGGAGCTAAGTCGATTGCTGGGGACACGGTCTCTGTCCTTCCCTCCTCTCCCCAGAGGCCAGGAGGCCAGTGCTGACGGCCCAACCCTCTCTGAGTTTATCCTCTCCTGGAGTTGCAGGTTGTCATGGAAACACATGCTCCCAGCTCTGTGGGGACTTAAGAGAGGCTGTGTGGGGGCCACGGGCCACTGGGAGTCATTTCACGTGGGGCTAAAGAGTCAGCCAGTAAGAGACCCTGCAGACCTGGAATCCCACCAGCTGGGGAGTCAGCCCTGCGCCCCTGGGAGGGGCTTGGGTGCACTCACGATGGTCTGGGTGTATTCTTGGAGCTTGGGCTCATCATAAGGCCGGTTTGCCTTCTTCAGCAGGTCGGATAGGAACCCCTGGAATAAAAAAGGCCTCCTCAGAATTCCTGACCCAGTCAGGCAGCCCCTCATCCACGTAGCTGTCCACTAGATGGACAGCACTGCCTTCTGAGGTCTTCTGTTGGCACAGCTGACACTCCTCATGAGTCCCTATTCCCTTAACACCGCGGAGTGGCCTTGAAGGCCCCAGAGGACAGGCAGTCGGAACTGGCTCTGCCTCCCAGAGCCCAGCACACAAGGCTAAACAGTTCTGGGGACCCGTGGTCCCAGAGGAACTGAGGGGCACATGCACAGGCCAGAAGCCCAGTCTGCTGGAATCGCCTCCAGGATGCCTGTCCTGGGCACTGATGTGCAGCGGAGTGTGGTTGGTTGAACTCTGGGGCCAGGAGCTCCACGTTCTGGCTTCACGCGGCTGCCCTGAGGATCCTCAGCAGACCACCAACCCACAGCCCTCAGCCGGTGTCTCCTCCTTCTGCCCCCCTGCCCCAGGCTCCCCGAATCCCCTGCCAGGCTGACCCCAGCCCCCTTCCCCATGCCCTCCTCCAGGCCCACCCTACCTTGAGCTCGTTGGCTTCGATGTAGCCACTTCGGTCTGTGTCGTATTTCCGCCAAGCCTGCAACGGGAGTGCCTGTTAGCCACGTCCTACAGGGTAAGCCTCTCCACCTCCCCAGTGGACAGGCGGGGTCAGCGTGTCTTGGCCCAGGTCACACGGGGGGAGGAGAGCGCAGGGTTGGTCTCCACTTTAACTGGCTGCAGGCCTGGGGCTTGGTTTTGCGTCATCTTGTACCCAGAGGTGACTGGCTAAGGTGTTAGGTTGGCAGCACCCATCCGGGGGAGAACTAGGGCACAGTGGGCCTGACACGGGTTGTGGGCACGGGACTCTGCCATCTTGGAAAACTGGAGACAGTCCTCTAAATCACCGAAAAATGCAATCCACATCTGACGCTTAGGCAAGCTGCCACTTAAAAAATGACTCTCTCGCCCCGAGAATCAGGTATTTCTAAGTGACTTCCTACCACGTGGGGACAGACTGCCCTGTGGGAGGCTGGGCTACCTCCCCGGGGGTTTTAGGCGGTGACTCACGCAGAGGGGATTACCGGTGGCTGGAAATGGATTTAACACGGCAAATGGCAGTCACGTCACAAGTCAGCTGTTATTTATCACGGCAGGTAGAGCTCGTGGGGGTGTGTGTGGGGCATGGGCTGGGTGTCACCCTGAGGGACACACACATTGAGAGTGTGTTTCCCCAGAAACACGGCAAGAAATAATGGGTAGTTTGCTGCGTCTCCAGCTGGTTTCATCTGTTGGACTCAGAATCTGTTACTCCAAAGACACGAGTTGGGTTGTCCTATTTCACACAAGAATCTCAAAGGATTTCTGTTGCAGGGACAGCAGTGCCCATTTTAAGGGTGGCTGGGGGGAGGGGGCACGATGAAGCCCTGGAAAATACCAGAGACTGGAGTTCTCGCTGGGTTTCTCTCGCTGTACGTCGTGCAAGGGTCATGATCCCCAGGCAGGCCCCTGGGACTCTGACTTCCAGGGCCTGTTCTGAGCGAGAACAAAGGATGGGGGCTCCCAGGGCCACCCAGAGGGGAGCAGGTCTTTACTGCGCATTTCCCAGAGCCCACACAATGCAGATGTCTGTGACCAAACCCCAAGGGGGAGAGAGTGTGCACACAGCACTCCCCAAGTGTCCTTGACCCGGGCTTGCTTCTCACCTCATCCCCCGCACTTTCTGGGGGACACACACACACACACACACACATCTGTCCCCCAGGAATCCTGGCAGATGCAGATCTGACTCACTGGGTGATGCAGGCATGCTGGTCTGCGGCCCCCACTGTGGGTAGCCGAGCCCTCAGGGGTTCAGGGTTCCCCCAGGGACCTTACCCAGGCACCAGGATGGACCTGGCTCTGAACCCGGGAGAAAGGCAGGCCCCGACGCGCAGAGATGGCAGCTCGGCCTTACCTCCATGAACTCGGTGCTGGAGCCCACGTGCTGCCTGAAGCACAGAAGGAAGTTCTCCTCGGTGGGCAGGATCTGCGCCAGCTGCGGGGCCAGAGCGACACTAAGCTTAGGGGGGGCAGCGTAGGAGGGAAGGGAAGGGATATGCCTGGTGGGGACGTGGGGGGAGTTCCGGGGTTTGCTTCCGTCTTTGGAAGGAAGGGTTAAAGGATGTGGTGACGAGTGAGTCCCTCAGGAGACAGCCACTTGGTGAGGAGTGCCCATCCTCATTTTTGGGGGGCGGAATATAAAGTGTTTTATTCAGCTAAAGCAGGAAAAAAAATCTGGTATGTGTTTTATTCTTTTTTTTCCCCCTTCCTCTTGAGGTCACAGTGGTTTCAACACTGAGTCAGTGTAGAGGATCCCAGCTGCCCGTCCTCATTCTTAACCCTCTGCCGCGAGTCAAAGGCTGATTTTCAGAGGTGTGAGGGGCTGTGGGGCAGAGGCGGCCTGACCGGCGCGCAGCCTGCATCGCCGCAAACCCAAGCCTACACCTGTGAGGCCTCAAGGCCAAGGAGCCAGAACCCGAGGACAAGCGACCACCGGCAGCCCTGGCCTTGGCCCAGCAAGGCCCCCTCAGGCGGGGGCCCCTGGGGACCTGCCTGTCCCGGGCCTGGGGGAGGCGCCGCTGGGGAAGCCTGGGTGGGTGCCCCACGCCAACATTTTTTGCTGAAATTAACCCTTTCAATAAGCCTTGGTTTACCTTAGCATCTGCACATCCGTATGGGTTTAACAACACGCGCCTCTCTAGCCTTTTTTTTAAGAACCTTGCCTTGGGATGCCTTTAGGTGCGGCGGGATCTCTCCCCAACAGCAACGGTCCTCACCCCTCCTCCCTACACAGGGCTTGGGGACAATGGACACCCCCTGGAGGACCCTGAGGGCATTAAGGTCTCCCTCCCCCTCTTAGGCCCAGTTTGTGTTTCCTCCTTCCTTGCGGGACTTAGAAAAAGCCCCAACACGTGTTCTCTTCCCTCAGCCCCAGCGCGGGGGACGGAGAGGGGGCGCGGCTCCCCAGCAGCTGGCTCTGGGGAGGGGCGCGGGCCACACACAGGCTCTGGGACTTGGGGCTCACCTCGGCCATCTCGATTTTCCCATCTGAGTTCTTGTCGTACTTCTGCATGAACTCCTTCATCTTCTCCCCGAAGTTGTCGCTCTTGGACATCTGCGGGAAGGTGGGGGTGGGGGTGGGGAGGAGGTGGGGGCCATAAGGCTGCTGGGATCCTGGGTGACACACGCATCCCACGCCCTCTTGGGGCAGCAGGGGTGGGAGTCATTTTGAGCTCCAAATACACCCACGGAGCCAGGCGGGGCCGGTGCTCTGCGGCGTGACCAGGGCTGCGCACTTTCCTTTTCAAGACTGGGTCACAGAATTTCCACAAGGGAACGGGATACACAGCAAGCGCTGGCCCCTGTCATTAAATATGCCCCCCTGCCCCCTGTGGGCTGAACCACTGCTCTCTCAAAGGACAGGACTACTGCCATCTCTTGGAGGTCAGGCTGGAGGCCCCAACATTTTACTGAGGCAGCACATAATAAACCCAGCATAATCCAGCGACCCCCCCATAGGCTGTCAGCATCCCACCCGTGCGTGCTAAGTGACTTATTTCCTTCTTTAAAGACTACCCATTTCACCATGATTTTTCACTGTGATTTTGTGCCTGGAAAAGTGTGAGAAGAAAGTCTTCTGTAATAGAGGGGTAATATAAGTAGTCTAGCAGATTCCTGATGACCAGGAAGGCAGAGCATGTCAACAATTCCTTCAGCCCATTGTCTCCCAGCCAAAGGGGCTCTTGAAGACCAGCAGGGTGCCACTGGTTCTTTGCATTGGCAGCTCTTCTTCCTGGCTAACCCAGGCCTCTCTGCCTACCCGGGTGACTTCTGGGCGGGGGTGTGTGTCCAGGGCTTGGGCCAAGGAGAGTCCCTCCAACTCTTAGAGTCTTTTCTGAATTCCTTCTATTGCTTCTTGCCTTTGGAAGGGGTCTCTGTGTGCCAATAGGCATTAGTTTATTAATAACTCTTGCTTTACATTTACAAATGGAATGACCCTAGGCTATTATCACAAGGTGGGCCTGTCCACTTTATAGACAAATGCAGGCCAAGATGGGGTGACTTCATGCAAGGCCCCAGGGCAGGGGCCAGAATGTGAGCTCATGCCCCTGTGTCCACATTCGGTGTTCCTCCTGCCCGGAGACAGCTGCTCTGACAGCCCGTCCCGGAGGTTTCAGCTGAGATTGTGCTGGCAGATTCAGAGATCACCCTGACGCCAGCTGAGGAAGGGAATGACTCAGAGAAGGATTTCAGAGTTGAAGCACTTTCACTGAAACACGTTCCTCTGCCTCCCTGGGGAACAGCATCAGGTCTGGAGCCCGTGTTCACTGAGATCCAGGCTTTAGGATCCTAGCCGTGAGGGGTGAGGAGGGAACGGTCATGAACAAACCCGAGAGTCACCTCTGCAGCCTAAGACCGTTGCTGGTTGCTGTGACCTCCCCGTCATGGGGGGTGGGGGGGGCTATGCCCAGCTAGCTCACCTGGGGCCAGTTGTGACTCATCTTCGGCACCTTCCATGAGGACTTGCTAATAAGCTAATAAGCAGTGGGTTGGGGTCTAGACCCCACCCGCAACTCCCAGGACCTGCAGGAGGAGCTAGGGAAGGAGTGGGTCTGACTCCCTGTATTTCAGAACCAGACCCAGGAATCACAACAGACCGGGTCCAGACACCTCAATACGTCAGCCTCCCTCAAAAGATTCTAGTGAATTCACCAGTGCCGGGCTAGTGCTGGGGGCAGCAGGATCCTTGCCGCAGAGGGCCTGGGACGTGAACTGGAGCCCGTTCAGGCAGGTTAGGAAGGGCCGCCGGACGCCTGCATGGACCAGACCAGCAGCACTGTCGGGTGCAGATGCTGGTTTGGGGGCAGTCCTCAGTGTTTCTCTAGGTCCTTGCTGAGGATTTAGTCTTTGTGGGCCTAGAACTATGGTTCTCCAGTGGGGACAGTCCTGCACTCCCATGGTCCTATGGGGGACATCTGGCAAAGTCTGGGGACATTTCTGATTGTTTCAACTTGGGGGGTGCTGCTGGCATCTTGTGGCAGACAGCCAGGGGTGCTGCAAATCATCCTACAATGCACAGGACAGCCCCATGACAAAAACGATCCGGTCCCAAATGTCACTGATGCCACTGAAAAGCCCGAGTCTAGAATAGGGCACTTGAAACACCCTGGGCACCTTGAGTCGTGAACCCTCTGCACATCTTAGGTGGGCTCTCCCAGAGGGAAAACTGATTTTCATACACTCGGACACAAGCACAAAGCTTTGCAATTTTTGGGGAGGTTCATCAACTCCTTTTGCTCATTCATGAACACCTCTCAACCCCAGATACCTTAGGATATTAAGGGAAGGTACTCTTGGTAGGGGGTATCCCATTAAAAAAAATCCTTACAAATAAAAGAAAAACTTGAAGTGTCAAGACCAGGGATGTCAGGCCAGCTGATGGGAAGCATAACTGGGACAGACGATGTTCAAAGCCACGGTCAGAAAATCCCACAAACAACTGGGCTTACCATGCCAGAGCCTTTTCTTGCCTTCTCCAGCTCTTGGAAAAAGTTTTCTAGTTCTTTACCTTCAATATACCCATTTCCTGTAAAGAGAGGGAAGAAAAAAAAAGCAATTCATCTTGAGGCTAAATAGTAAGGCTGGTGGGGGTTGGGCAAGGGGTGGGGGTAGGTCCAGAAGGACTTCTTCCTGGTCAACAAGCCAGTGTCTGGCCAGCCTTGGTCTGCACCCATGGGGCGGGCACCCACACATGCAAGATGGGACGTACAGTCAGGAGAGAACCCTGGGAGGACCCAACACCTGAGCCTAACCGGGGGCTGGAGCGTTCATGACAGGCTGGGCCGCTGCCAGGCGCTGGAGACTCAACAGCGTGGAGACTTGTCAGCAAGCAGGGCCGATGAGGTTGGAGGTAGCATTCTGGGGTAAGGAGGTGAATTGATTCTTTTTTTTTTTTTTTTTTTTTAATAGAGGCATGTTTATTTATTTATTTATTTATTTATTTATTTATTTATTTTATTTGTTTGTTTGTTTGTTTTGTCTATACATGCACTGGGTACAGTCAGAAGTGGGGGAGGGTGAGAGAATTCACCAGAGCCAGAGCGGGAAGCAGAGCAGGCAGAAGGACCGAAGTACACTGCTGAGGGGAGCAGCGGGCGGCAGGAGAGGTCTGCGCGCCATGTGGGACCCTCCTCTGGTGGCCGGGGAGCAGCCGGGGATCGAACCGGCGCCGCAGAGGACGCGGGCAGCTTCGCAACCCAGCGCTCAACCGCTGCGCCACCGGGGAGGCCCAGGAGGTGAATTGAATTGAAGGAGTCACCCCCCACGATCTTCACCCATCTAGAATCTCAGAATGTGACCTTATTTGGAAACAGGATCTTTGCAGTTAAGATGAGGTCCTAGTAGATTAGGGCGCCGCTGACTCCAGTGACTGGTGTTTGAGAAAGCCGTGGGAAGACAGGTGGAGCCTGGAGTGACGCATCTCCAAGTCAAGGGGCGCCGCGATGACTGGCACCCCCAGAATGACACTGTCCCTCAGAGCCTCCAGAAGGAAGCCACCCTGCTGTCACCTTGATTTTGGACTTCAGAAGTGGGAGACAATGAATTTCTGTTGTCCCACCCCACCCAGTTGGGGTGCTTTGTTGCAGAAGCCTCAGGAAACTAATCCAGAGGGAAGAGTGGGAAGAAAAAGGCTGGGGCATCTGTCCCAGGGGGTGAGTCTCCTGAGAGAGCCGGTCACAGGGAGGAGCCGAGGGGGCGGCCCACTGCGCTGTAACCGAGAGAGAGGCTCTGAGGCTGGGCTGCAGGCCCACCATAGTTCTGCGCGCACTGGCCGTACGGCTTTGGGCAATCTGACCTGTCACTCCTGCAAAGTGAGTCATTATAATTCACGTTATAGTAACTAATATTATGACTAAGTGGGACTTAGGCATGTAAAGCCTGTCACCCACAGCGAGACACGTCACTGTTGTTTGAGTTCAGTGACCGGACCTGTGTATGAGATGGGAAGGACTCTGGGTGAGAAGCACGATTATCAGGACCAGGTCCTGAGGCCAAGGCCTGACCTGCGAGATCACAGAAATAGTGAGAGGTCCTGCAGGCTCTCACCCCAGAGGCCCAGGTGACCTGGAAACCAGGGCGAGCTTGCCCCTGCCGAGGCCTGCGCGACAGGACAATGGGACAGGCCTCCTCGGGCAGTGCCACCCAGGCTGCCGCCCACGACGCCATCCCCGGGGGCTTCAGAGAATACAGGTGTGTGGCTCCCATCCTCAGGTGCTCTGATGTAATTGGTTTGGCTTGTGAACTAAGCACCGTGACTTTTTTTAAACACCCCAGGTGATTTCCTTGTGCAGTAAAGTCTGGAAACCACTGGCCTAACGTCAGATTCCAAATCTGACCTGCCGCAGCTCAGCAAGGTTCCCACGGAGAGCATGCAACTTGAACAGCAAAGAGGGGCGGGTGGTCGTCTGCTTCAGGGGTGAAGGGAATTGCAAAGTGAACAAAGAAAATAATGACAGAGACTTTACCCCCGTCTTGGTGTGGTGGGTGTGGGGGCGGGGTAGGGTGTGGGGGTCTGGAATTTAGATTCTGAATCAATAACCTTAGCGGCGCCCTCTAGTGGAGAAATCGCACTAGAGCACAGACAATCACGTGATAAAGAATTTTTTTTTTTTTTTTGGTCTGCAGAGAAAAGATTTGATTGTCTTTGAGGTTGGGGGAACCAGACTTGAGTTACCTTTCCCCCTCTTATGCTTGAGTCGCCATTTTTCTTCTAGAATGTTCTGCAAAACTTCTTGGAAGATGCTTGGGGGAAGCTTCTTGGAATTCAAGAGTGTGAGCCTAAGGCCTGGTTGGAGGCCAGCTGGAGACGGGTGGGAGGGTTTCCTAGGCAAAAAGGCATCTAGTGGAAGACTCCTTGAGTAGGAGGAAAGAGTGATTTTCTTCTCTGTGGTCACCTCCTGCAGTGATCTGGCCGTCACCCCATTTCTTAGGTCGGAAGCTGAGCTCAGCTCTGGGCCCAGGTGCAGAAGCCGGAGGCTGGGGTGGGCTGGGAGGGCTCCCACCTGGTGCCTCAAGCACAACCTGGGCTTCCAGGAAGCAGGGGCTCAGAGGCGGCCCCGAGCCAGCACATGGCCCGTGAAGGCGAGTGTGTCTGTTTTGGGAATTAGGAGGTGGCTGAAATGAACTTGGGGAGCCAGCCCAACAGTGCAGCAGGGTGTCTTTCCCAAAGAAGCCACTGCTCAACTCTGAAGATCCCTTCCCCCCATCACAGCATTGCTGCATTTCTCCTCCAGCTCTGTCACCAGCTGTTTGGGGTTCTGCAGAGTGACAGGCCTTCCTGGGTGAGGGGTGGAGCAAGGGGCAGCGGAGCAATAGGAAATTAATTTAAACAGGACATTTCCAGATAGTGTCAAGTGCAACAAAGGGATGATGATGATGATGTAACAGGTTGGCTGCCAGGATGGCTTGGGTGGGGTGGGCAGGGACAGCCACTCTGAGGGATCCCCACTACTGGCAGAAGGAGGAGAAAGAGAGGAGCAAGGTTAGGCAGGGGGAGGGGTCAGGAGCTGGGATGGAGGCACTGGATGAGCTGAATGGGCAGTGGGAGTTGCCCAGAGGCTGGATGAGCTGCTCTGGCCAGGCCAGGAATTCTACCACCCCTGTCTGTACCCCCAACATAGGCACAGAAGCGTGGCTTAGTTTGACGTCTTTGGTTTTTCGAACTGACAAAAAGTCAGACTTTGCGCCCGAGCTTGGGGAGCTAGGGGCAAGCTTAAATGTGGGCCTGTTCCCCAGGAGCATTTGATGGTCTATGGGAATGAAGCAGCCAGACGAGAATCACTGGGACCTACCACTGAAGGCAGAGGGTGAGGAGCAGAGCTGAGGTAGGCAGGCAGGGGCTGCGGGGCCCAGAGGGGCACCCCTATCATTGAGGGGAAAGACCCTCGCTACTTTGGCCTTCCTCAGAGCACACCCGACCCATCCCCAGGGGGCAGCTACTATCCGGGGCTGAGGGTCAGTCTATGTCCTACGAGGCCTTCTGCACTGGACAAGTGACTTGCCTTTTCTAGCACCTGCTAATGGGGGGTAGGGGTGACTGGTCACCAAGTGCATCTCCTGAGGGATGCAGTTACTATGGCAACCACCACTCCTACCCTCCATATCAAACCACATCCTGAGACCATTCAGGACAGGTTGTTGGGTGGGAGCCAGGGACCCTGCACCACCATTTCTTGCTTTCCCCTCATTTAAAGTCACATCCTCTTCTTTACAATTCATCTGACCACAGATGCTGGGAAAGCCTTGACTGAAGGGTGCGCTGCCCCAGAGTGGAAAGAAGCTCCCTTATTTCTCCCTGAGACCCGTGTGTGCAGCTTTCCTAAGAATTGAGCAGCTAAGAGGCACCTGAGCGAGAGGATTCTGCCACCAGCCGCATGGCCGTCAGGTGGTGGTCAGCAAACCAACCTCTCCCGACCTACGTTTCTTGATCCTGAATACGGGTCAAACTATTTATATGCCCTCTCTTTTTTAGAGGACTATTGTGAGAGCCACACGGGAAACATAGTGCAAACATGCTGGAAAATGTAAAATTGCACATAAATGCAAAGCAGCCTTTTTATAGTCTGTCCTCTTAAGGGCCTCTGAACCAAGCCAGGGTGGAGACTCTTTGGCCCAAGTGTTCCCTAGGGGGTGCTCTCTAGGCGGTGGCTGCTCAGTCCAGGCTGCGTACTAGGATCCCTTGGGAAGTTTTTCCAACAACAGCGCTGCTGGGCCCACCGTCAGGCTTCCAGTTGAGTAGCTGGGGTGGGGACCTTCCTCAGTGTGCTGTCAAAGCTCTCCGGGTGATTGTAAAGTGCAGTTGGTGGTAGCTTTAAGAACTGTTTCAGAGCAGCAGGTCTCAGATTTTAAGGTGCTTGTGAATTCCCTGGGGGGAGCTTATAAAAATGAAGAGTCTAATATAGTACGTCTGGAGCAGAAGGGCTTGCTGCCCAAAGTGTAATTGGGAGCTTGTTGGAATTGCTGAACCCCAAGCCCCACCCCGACCAGCTGACCCAGAATCTGCATTTTTCACTGTGTAGGAACATGAACATTTGAGAACTGCTTTCAAATGTTTTCCAGGGGAGAACTGAGTCCTAGGGACTCAGAACCCATAGGAGTGAAGGATGGAATGAAGGAGAAGGATTTAGAATGTCTAAACGCCTCATCTCGTGGATTATAAACCTTTGTCCTTTTCCTGTTTTCTGCCAGTGGTGGCTGGAGGTTGGGGGAGCAGGAAGAGCACAGGGAATTTTTAGGGTGGCCAAACTATTACATATGAGACCACAGGAGGGTGCAATACAGACGGTGAACCCCTTGTCAACTATGAACTAGTAAGAATGTAACCACATTGGTTCATCAAGTATAAAAATATGCATCACACTAATGTAAGGGTGGATAATAGGAGAAGCTAGTGGGATGGGGAGTATAAAAAACTTCTCAGTTTTTGGTAAACTAAAAACTGGTCTATAAAATAAAATCTCTTCATTTTCTTGAAATGTTGATTAAATAGAAAAGCCAGGGCCTCCCTGGTGGTGCAGGGGTTAGAGT